CTCCCCGCTGTCCCCCGGCCCCGCCGGCCCGCGCGCCTCACCTGCTGCTCCTGGCCGCCAGCTCCTCTCTCATCTTCTTAATGTCGCTCTTGCATTTCTCAATCTCCACCACCTTCAGTCCCTCCACTGGTGACGAAGAGACACGAGGGGGTTACCATGGATACACGGAGGGCCTTGAGAGGCTGGTCAGTGGGGTTGGCCCGTGGCTGCCCATTCCCCGGGGAGGAGCCAGTTCAGCACTGGTGCCCAGGTCTCGCCGCCACCCCCGGCCACAGCTGACTCTGACATCTCGGGCCTGTTCCAGGCCACACGTGAGCTGTTCCCTCCATCTGTGGGCATCTACGGGGCGGAAACCCCTCGCCCCGCTCCCTGAATCAAGACTTTTCTCGCACCCATTAAGATGTGACGGAAGCCTCAGTGGGTCGCCAGGCCACGTGTGGACCTGGATGGATGAGGAGCAGTCAGGCCACGTGAAGGCTGAGCAGAGCCCGGGCCGGGTCACGTTCCCGGAGTCCCGTGGCAGAGCTGTGTCTGAGAAGCCAGGACACGTTTCTCAACGAACCGAGGCTCACTCCTCCAGGCCAGGGTTTGACCGGGGACGCTGCCTCCGGCAGGCCGCACGGCGAGCCGGAAACAGCGCTAGGAGGCAGGTGGCTTTTAGCTCAGTCGTTCACGAAAAAAGGACTGGCTTTGTTACTTTGTAATCACACCGTGATTTTTATGCGAAAGGATACGGCCCACGATGCTACTGTATCTCCGGCTAAAAATAAAACGTGGATGATTTCTAAGGAAGACGAAGAAACTCGGTGACTTCAGCAGTTCCTCTCACCCCGACGGAACTGCGGAGGCTCAGAGCACGTGTTGGGGACACTCGCCCAGGGCAGCTGGGCTGGAACATAACCGCCCCGCCCCTCCCACCCCTGCAAGTTTCCTAAACATTCTCAGGGTCAGAGGCCAAGGGCGGGGGCGAGAGGCTATGCAAAAACATTGCTTCTTTTTGCCCAAAGTGGCCAGAATCTGGAGGATCTGCTACTCAGATCTGGTTCTGGTGACTTGCGTCTGTGCCGTGCCTGGGACACTGTCCCTTCTCTACCAAGACATGGGACCAAAGCATGGGGTCTTCAATGCAAGCCTTTTGAACCAGCTGTCCCCGTGGCCGATGGCACGTGTGCTGCCATTGGGGACCCACAGGGGACGATGCTGGGTACGTTTCTGTTCGCTCACTCAAAGCCCACAACTGCCCTTGGGAGGGGGGTGTTCTGAGCTCTCTCTAGTGTCACAGATGCCATTTGGAAGTCAATGAAGGCCGCAAGTCCCCTCCTGAGGAAAGGGACACCAGCGCAGACCGTTCGGGGTTTGCATTGGGACAGGAGGGCACTGTGGCCTCGCAGCCACGCCCAGGCCTTGGTCCACACTGCAGGATGCTCAGCCCGCGGAGCAGAGGACCCCAGAGGGGCCGTGTCTGCCATATGCCAGGAGGACACTAACATCAGCAAACAGCAGAGTCGACGTCAGTGGCCAGAAAGAGCTCAGTCTTACTGCCACGCGAAGGACAGGAAATTCCAGAAAGTGACTAGATCTAGAGAAGAGGCCTAGCATGTTGTGTAGACTCTGATCTGATAAGTCGGCCGGTGTGGGGAAGAGACGAAGCCGGGGAGCCGTGCCCTGCACTCGAGGTCTGGGCTACGTTTACTATGCCTCAAACATCGTTATGTACAAAACGGAGGAAATACGGCCCATCCGGAAGAAGAAACATTTATCTCTGAACCGACTGGGCCAGAAAACCACCCATTTAATATTACATATATTGGCAGGGCCCCTTCCAGGCGTCTCTCCCATCCCCCATGCAGTCTAAATGTCTGTCTGTCCGTCCATCGTCTGTCTGTCTGTCTATCTATCTATCTACCTATCTGTCTTTCCTTAATTTTGAGAGGTCAAAGTCAGGATCGTGCCGTTTGCTGTGTTTTCTCACTTGCTTTCCCCGCATTGTTCTCGTCGAGGGCACTCGGAGTGCCAGCAGCCGCCTCCTGGCTCACGGTCTCCGGCGGGTGTGTGACATGTGGCTACCGACATTGGAGTGGACGTAGATCAGACTCCCTGGTCATTTATTAGGAGTGATGTTTAAATTAAGCCATTGGAGCGACCCAGTGTAATGCTGCCAATTTGAATCCCAGAGATTCAGAATTCGTGGCAATTATGTTTATGAAGAGCCTGGTTGCCAAGGAAATGGAGATAAGTCACTCATTAATCAATGGAAGAGAAAAACAAGTCTTCACAGGATTAAAGAGCAGGACGTGGGGGACGAGGCTTGAGAGCGGGCGGGCTCCCGTCCCTCCGTGCTTCCCCGGGCTTGGGGCTGCTTTTGGAAGCCCAGCTGTCCCCTCCTGGACTTCAGAGGTGGTCCCGTGGGCCCCTGCAAGTCACAGGGAGAACTCTTAAGAACGACCTTCCGAGAGGGACGCTGGCCTTGGGGACGGGCCTTGGCGGGCAGGGGCAGAACAGTTCGGGGGCGGCCCTGCTCTCTGCCGGCCCCCAGCGGCCTCGCTGGGCTCAAGCGAGAGGCGGCAGGGGCCGGGGCCGTCCCCTGGCTGCAGAGCGAACGCCAGGCTCCTAAGGACACGGGAGCTGCAACACTTCCTCCAAGGACGCTGGTAAAGGGTTTGCACAAGGCACGTTCCCGAGTGACAAACAGAAAAGCCAGGTTTGGTTTCAGTTTCGAGTCTCCAGAATTGTTCGCGTGACCTTGGGCCGGTTCTCCCCGTGCTTAGGTTTTGGTCCACGCCCTGGGCACAGGACAGGGGGTTGGGGGTCAGGGCTGCCCTGCGCCTGGCACAGCGGCCAGTGTCCAAGGAACAAGGAAGGAAGGGAGCGAGGCCTCTGTGACGCTCCGTCTCCGACCAGGAAGCAGGCGAGGACCCCGTGTCCTGTGTTTACAGGATGACCTCTGACCTGGGCGGGACCCCGGACTCCTTGGAGAAGGCAAACATTTTCCATAAAAAGGAAGGAAAGCTTTTAGAGCGAATTAAAGAAATGGAGAAATGTGTATTTGATTCAGAAGAATAGTATGTTTGAGAAGGAGAAAAAGAGGAAATTCCACTTAAAACGAGTCACACAGTGAAACGCGGCTCACGGACACCGGGCCGGCTGGGCGCCCCCGGGAACTCGAGAAGCAGGAGAGCTCGTAACAGCTCGCACACACCAGATAAAGTGTGCGTGCACGTGAGCGTGGGGTGTGGACGTGTGTTTACATGCGTGTGCGTGAGTGCATGTACCTGTGTCTGTTCACGCGTGTGTGTAGCATGTGTAGTGTGTGTGTCTACCTCTGGCCCGGGCCGGCGGAGCGGTCCAGCTGTTGGGCTTCCAGCAGCCCCCCAGTCCGGCGGCCCAGGCCAGCTTGCTCTGGCAGCTGTGCAGGGTCAGGACTGACCGTCTGAGCAGCAGGGATGACCTTTCCCCCGAGCGATCTGCACGACAAGTCCAGCTGCAGGCCCCTCTCCTCACAAGGACTGTCCTGGCCCCTTCCCCGTCTCTGGGGCAGGGCATTGCTGTCTCCGGGCGGCTCCTGAGAGAGGGAGGTCCCCCCGCCCCCCACCTTCCCGCCCGCCTGGCCTCGGTGCTAGAAAGGAGCACAGCTGGTCACGACACCAGTGATTCTGACGTAGGCATCGAGCCTGAGCTCTGAGCGGGGAGGGGTGACGCCTGCTCCAGGTAAGCTGTGTGCGCCTGCAGGATTTCTGTGGTTTACCCGACGGCCCTGCAGAGAGGCGCCTTCCCTCCGCGGAGGGACCGGCCCCAGATGGGCCAGGGGAGAAGGGCAGGCGGGCCGCGTCCTTTGACGGTCCTCCGTCCACATGCCGCTTCAAGGCAAAATAAAAGCCTTCTCAGCCTGATCATCGTCTCCCTGGCCAGACGCTGGCAGCCACCCAAGCTGAGGTCAACCGGGTTTGCTGCAGGAGTTTCGACAATTCCTTAGCGGCCCCTTCAGCTTGCCTTTTGCAGTGGCGGTGGGCAGTGGGGAGGGTGTGGGGGGGGCAGAGGCGCCCACTGTCCCTGGGCACCAGCACGCCAGGTGGGGACTGTGACTTCCCCTCTGGAAATGCAGACGGGGACTCGGCAGCGAACCTTTTTCATTTTCCGTGTTCTTTACCTGAACCCCTCCCACGTCTGGAGAAGTCCCTGCTCTGCGGGGCTTGGTGGGAAGCCGAGCCTGCCTTGAACTGTGTCCCCTCCACAAAAGATGGGGTCACATCCTTAGCCCCAGAACCTGTGGGTGGGACCTTATTTAGACAAAGGTTCTTGGCAGGTATCCTGAGATGAGGGCACCCTGGATTAGGGCGGGCCCTGAATCCAAAGACAGGTGTCCTTGTCAGGGACAGGCAGAGGGCCCTGGAGACACAAGGACACAGGACAGTGTTTCGCGATGCTATGACCTCAGGTCTGGATTTTGTTTACTCATCCTGGAAGTGAATAAATACGGTGCCATAAACCGTTAACCTTTGCCCTGACGCTGGCGGAGTCCGAGCTCTGCTCCTTGTTTATGGGTGAGGACACAAGGGTCGCATGACTCGGGGCTGTTCCCCTCCCAGATTTTACTGTCTGCTCTCTGGCTGAGGCTGGGATCACCCCGCCTTGCTCACTTGCAGTTTTTCTGCTGGCCTTTGTGGAGCCTGGGACCCGGGGGGCGAGGGTTTAGTGGACATAGTCCAAAAAGCCCGTGAAACCACAGGGCGCGGGGCCGCGCATCCTCGTTTACGCACAGAGACACACGCAAGGTGGTCAGCAGAAGTGCCTTCCCGGAGAGGTCTAAAGCGGGGGGCTTCCCTGTGCACGGGAAGAACGCTTCGCATGTGCCCTTGCTGGCACACGCGGCGTGTCACCTTGCGCCTGCGACGCTACGTTTAAGGTGCGTGGCTTCCCCGCTGTTCTGGGCTTTGCTGGCATTAATCTTTCCACCGGGGAAAGACACGCTCTTGCCCTCCCGTCACCTGGGTCTACATGGCTAACTGAAGCGGAGGTTACAGGACCGCGAAGCGAGCGGAGCGAGAGCTGCACTCACGTTCCACGCGCTTCTCCAGCATGGCCAGGTGGCTGGCGACTTCGGCTTTCAGCTCGTTGATTTTAAATGCCCTGGGAATGAAAGAGGAGAGGAAGACGAGACACAGCTCATGAGTCTCGAAGTTAATGCAGCTTCGGCCAACAGCTGTCGAATTGTGGCCTCGGGGGTGGGGGGCGGGCTGGTGGGGGGCCGCAGAGACGCCAGGAGTCTTGCCATGTCTGGGGTGGCGGCGAGGAGAGACGCCCTCAGACTATCTAAGGGGTGTACTTTCCGAGCCGGGAACACACAGCGGGACCACGCCGGTGGGAACGCTTCCTTCCCGTGCCTGGGAGTGGGCAGCTGGGTCGACAAGCCCAGCCCCCTGGCCCTGGCCCCAGACCGCCTTCGGAGGACCCGGTGTGCCCTCTCCGACCCATTCATTCAAACGTGTCTTGGGCTCTAAGAAAGTGTCACCACTTGCTCTTTCTCGTTTGAATGACCCTGGAGCAGTGAGAAACGGACCGGCTGAATGGCCCACAGCGACAAAGACCCCCTGCCCCCCACCCCCCGGGACCTCTGGGAGAAAGTGTTCCCGAAAACGGAGTCAATTCCCATAGGCGGGGCCCTGGGTCCCAGAACCACGTCCCAGAGCATCCTGGGCTTGCGAGCTCATTCTAAACGTGCCCGCTTGACTCGGTCTTGCTTTGGGGCGAGCGCCTCCTGGAGCTCAGCGAGCCGGCCTAGTTCCGGGGCTCCCGGGAGGCCCGCACTGGGGGGGCAGCCCCTGCGGGTGAGTGTCTGCGGCCGAGACGGCCCCCTCAAAAAAGGGGCACCGCTGCCGTGAACGGAACAAGCGCATGTCCCAGGACTGTGGGCGTAGGAGGTGCCGTACCTTGAGAACTGCTCGGCGACCTGGGTCAGCACGGTCTGGATTAACTCTTCTTTCTCTACAGACCAAAACAGAAAGTCAGACGGGAAAAGCGAAGGGCCTGCGGGTCACCACGGGCCTGAAGCCACGCGGCTCCGACGTGGCCAGGAGCGGCCTGCCTCACTGGACGCAAGCTCCGGCCCCCTGCCTGCACCCCGGGGCCTCTCCTGTCCACCTCCAAATGCTC